TTCACTTGCAGGTGGTAACTATGATATAGTTTTTCACTTGCAGGTGGTAACTATGATATAGTATGAGATCTACATTCAAGGAATCTGAATATATTTATGTAGAAAAATGTCAGCGTGTTGGCCATATTTTTAATTGTAAGAAATTAATTTTCAAGAGAAAAAGAACAAAGAAAAGAAATTAGAGATTTGGAAATACCGTAAGTAGTGGTAGCGACTGGACTACTCTAATTTTGATGTATATTTTGAAAATAAATGATGGGAAAAGAGCGCTTGCGAAAGGATATCTTCAGGTAGAAGGACATAGCTTCGAGCGAGAGGAGACACCTTCAAAGCTGTTAGACAGAAGCAAGTACATCATGGTTGGAAATAGAACTCCAACTAAGAAGAAATCAGAAAGAAATCAAGAAGTGAAATTACCTCCATGCTGCAATTTGAAGCCCAATTAACCTTCATTCGAAGAATAACTGATGCTCAGTCTGGTGGCTTTCTCACTTTATATTTAATCCTGTTACATTCAAGTTACATTCGTGGATTCCCGAATGCAAAATAATTCAATCCCGTTACATTCAAGTACTAAATCAGACGCCGTTGACTATCATACAGTTGACAAAAACAGCATCAAGAGAACTTTTAATTGTTCCCCCTACATGCTCACCTGATATCCATCATCTATCTTCTTCTTAAATTCTTTTTCTGTTTTTGCATTAAGAACAATATGACATGCAATGTTACACATCCGTGGTTCCCTCATACGAAACTGCACAAAACCTTCTGTTAGACCGAATTTTAACAATTTAGGGACATCACGGATTTCAATCATCATGAAATGAGTAGTGTACCTCATAAACAGAGTTTTCAAGAGTAAGACAATATTAAAACATATAGAGCACTCAGCGGCTTGGTAAAAAAGTATGACTTTATACATTTTATTTCATTTCTAACCACCAAACTGATCAAAGTAGAATTTGTGTAAGCAAATCACCTGTTAGAAAGAGTATAAAAGGAATGCCAAACATAGAGAACCCTACAAAATAAATAACATTTCATTCATCTATCAAATATAATTAATATATGGAAACGCATGTGTATAGTCTGATTCCAATGTATGAAGCCAACTGTGAAAATATTGAAGCCTACTGTTCGAAAAGTTTGAAGCCTACTGTGAAAATCTTTAAAATCTCTGCAACGCCCTTCAAAGCTAAAACAATTGTGTCTGTGTCAATATAGCTTGCTGGTTAACTATGAGCTGGGAAAATAACAACAAACTCAATAAAATCACATTGATTGGAGTCTGGATAAGATGTGTGCACACACACTTTGAGTCCCTTTCAATAAACAAAAGGAACATTGATAAACATGTAAAGGGAAAAAGGGTATCTACACATGCCACTGCAAGTGTGGGAGTGTGTAAGCTCTGTAGAAAAAGTGACCGCTGCCTACACATGCCACTGCATAGTACGGAGTATTTGTTTAGGGCAAATAATACATAACTAATCAACATTTTGCCATAGTTTCATTTACAAAACACTTGTTCCAAAATTGTAAAGAAATGACCCAAACCCGATAGTTTGACCATCAGACTTGTTATCCTTCATAATCTTTATAAATAAAATGGCTCTGTAGACCTGAAGCAACATCTAAACCATGGAAGCGGAATGCAAAAATTGGTAGGTAAGTGATTATTTCGTCTAACCGACGCAACTGGAAGGTTGCAGAATCTTAGATAGCTCTCCAGGCAGAAACAGAAACGGAATCTACACGGACTACTCTCCCTCAAATCTGTCTGGGAACCCTATACAAAACCTAATGTTGATTTGATGAAACTTTTTACAGAATAATAACGCAACCATGTTTGTTTCCTTCGAAGTCACCTAATCATCGCATATCTCTATGTTTTCTCATTATCCAAGATTAATCAAAATTCTTTATAAAGGAGTAACTATGTTGTTTCTCTCCCAAATTAGATT